GGCGCAAGGAACAGCTACGAAAACAACAAACCTAAACAGCGCGTTGATACTCACCTGTAAGCACGACGAAGACAACATAAATGGGAGGATTTTCTCGCGCTGCTCCTCGCGGTATTCAGTGAACTTCGTAGAACAAAGTTGAAGAGCAAGACATACTCAACAAGAAAGTGCTGGAAAAATTTTGAAAGCAACGATTGAAAGCACAATAGAAGGATACATGTTCGACCTTGCGGTGAAGATGAACGCCCACTTGCTACAACAATAAATCAATTGCATACAGACGTTTGTGCACCAACTTGAACAAGCTGCGGACGAACCCGACTATATTAGATCAATACCATCAGACATTTCTGGAACAAGCCGAGAAAGGAATCATCGAAGAAGTTGATCGTCATCAAACCACTGAAGGAAACATCGTGCACTATCTCAGCCATCAAGCAGTTGATTTACCCCACCAAAGAATTCACTAAACTGAGAATCGTATTCTGATGCTCCCTCTCATTTAAGAACAAACCCTCTCTGAACGATATGCTGTATCAGGGACCGGTGATACTACCCATTATGAGGGATATGCTCATTCGGTTCAGAATTGGACATATAGCCATGATAGCGGATGTGGAGAAAGCCTTTTTACAGGTCCACCCTAAACACCCCAGAACAGAGATGCACAGTGTTTGTGGTGACAAGATGTTCACGAAGAGCTGAAGGATCGAACCTCGTCGAAATACCGCTTCACACGATCACATTGCTCTGAACTGTCTCACAGCATATCCTACTCGGCAGAACAATCAGGACATCATCTAGGGAAAAGAGACACGAAACACAAGGAGCGCTGTCGAAGGAACTGCTTAACAACATCTACGTCGATAACTTAATACTCACAGCCTCCAGCGAAGAGGAAGCACTACGAAAATGTAAAACATCCAAGGCGATCTTCAGAGAAATGAATATGAACATTCGAGGCTACTTACCAACAAGACAAGTGAACCCACAAACATTTCCCAGGAGGATAGAAGCAAACAAGAGATTAAAAGTTTCTCGGACTATCATTGCACTCGAAACAGAACACTGTTGTTCATCGAGGAAAACCTCGTGGACAAGAGAGTTTCTACTAAGAGAACATTCCGAAACAGATCGCATACCATTTACATGAGACCCCCATGGGATGGCTTACGCCACTTCTGCTCAAAGGAAAACTATTTCTTCAGCTAATTTGGAAGACTGGATACGACTGGGACACAGAACTTTCCCACGATCACGAAACTGAATGGAAAGAAATTCTCAAGCAAATAAACGGTTTCAGCGTACTTTCCTATCGAAGATGTCCCACCACTCCACTCGAAATAAAGCTCGTGTCTTTGCCAGATGCCGTGCGTACATAAGCAATTGGCATCGTGTGCTACCTGTGACAGAAGAATTCCCACCTTGCCTTTGCGAATGCAGCTGGCAAATTGAAACAACAACGAACAATCCCTAAAACTAAGATCCATGACTTACCATGGCAGTAAGAATGGCACACATGATGCATGAAGCTTTGGCTCAGCAGCTCAAGAATTTCTTCAGTGACAATCTTCACAGACTCGGAAATCGCCCTCAACTGGCTTTCTACCTTCCCCATAAAGAAGGATGTGGGCCTTCGTCAAGAACAGAATAGTGGAAATCCGTGAAATTGTGAAGAACATCAAGGAACAGACACTCTTTGGACACGTCAGCTCAAATGAGAACCCCGCAGACAGCGCAACAAGGGGTCTTACAGCCGCCGAACTAGAGCATCACATGTGGTGGACTGGCCCTCAGTTCCTGAAGGACCCACAGTGGAAATGGCCGAAGAAAAAACAGTGGTTCACACTTCCCGAAGAAGCCGGTGAAGTCACGACGACATGATTCGAAATAACTGTTATATAGCAACGTCGCCTTGTGGGAAGCGTCGCCTTGTGGGAAGATGGAAGTACAGCAACTACTAGATTGGAGAAGGCACAACACAATACTATCAGCGCAAGTGACAGTGGCGTACGTATTACGCTTCATTCGGAAAGTCTGCCGATGAGCGAGGCGCTGGCTAACATCAAAGCTCAATTACCGTTGAACTGGACATAAACACGAACGCAGTCATCATGCCAAACTGACTACGTGCACCCTTACAGCCTCATAATTCGCAAACCACTCAACACATTCACGTCACATCCTCAAAATTAAGGAAATTCATTAAAAATCTCAACCTCCTAGCTGTATGAGCCATCGATTGCTAAGATCTAGGGAGACTTGACAAGGCCAACCGAATGTCAGCAGCTAGTCCAAACACGACCTTCTCATTGCCCGCGAATGACACCTCTAAGCTCGGTGCCTTAAAGAGATGGGCCCACATGCCAACCTGCCATCAAGGAACTTCGCACACAATGGGCCACGGTTCGCAGCAAGTTCTGGATCCCACAACTTCGTCGCCAAGTTCAATCCTTTTTGAAGAAATGCATTCCGTGCCAAAAAATGAATTCGCTTCCATTCAAGTATCCAGCAATGGGACCCCTCCCCGAACGACGCACAGTCAAGACGAAACCCTTCGAGAATGTCGGAATTGATTACTTTGGCCCTTTGATGACGAAGACGAAAGAAGAACAAAACAAGGTGTATGGTCTCATCATAACCTGCATGACTACTCGCCTCATACATCTAGAAGTGGTCACTGATATGTCCACGGAAAAAAACTACTTTTAGCACTTCGAAGGTTCTTCTCCCGCAGAGGAATACCACGAACCATAACATCAGATAATGGACCGTCCTTTCTCCTTGGAGAACGAATTCTGAAGGACGCAGTTCTTCCCACCATAAGCGACGACCGTTTCCAAACCACACTGGCGCGAAGAGGAATTGAATGGACCTTTATAACACCCTATGCTCCGTGGCAGGGAGCCTTTTATGAAAGACTGATAAAGTCCATAAAATATTCCTTACAAAGGTCGCTGAAAGCGATTTCGTGACGAGGAAGAACTTACGACTTGCTACAGAAATGAAGGTCGAAGGCCTGAACACCAGACCCCGCTTACCTTATCAGGAGCCGACTTTGACATCTGCGCCACTTGCGCGCCCCATCGACTTCATAGCCCAGAGCATCGAGCTTCTCCGTACCCGTTTTGAGGACTGCAAAGAATCGCACGCATCGGAGTATTAGCCGCCAGGAAGAGGCTTCAGCTCCACACTCCGACAGCGGGCACTCAAGAAGCCTTAGTCCAGTCACAAGTTGACAGAGAAATTCTGGGCGGTGTGGCACAGAATGTATCTCAGGAATCTCAGAGAGGTACATAAAATACATATGAACAGCAGAAGAGGGGGCACACGGACACCTTCAGTAGGCATGGTGGTACTATTGGCAGACGATGAGGTCCCACGCAATAGAGCTGGAAGATAGGAAGAATTTGTTCAGTGAAAAAAGGATTGGACGGTGAAATCAGAGAAGCAGAAGTACGTATGCCGAGTGGGACCACGTTACGGAGGCCGATTAATCTTCTAGTGCCTTTGGAATTACAGGAAGAAGAGATAGCAGGGCCCCCAGGAGGTGATACAAATGCTCGAAGCAAGCAAGGGTCAGAAAAACCCCGTCCTGCAGAAATGACGATTCATGTAACAACTGAGGAGAGAACATCCTGTAGGCATCCAAATCAAAAGCCGGGAATATAGAGATAACTCTAATACAACTTTGATTTCAGAAAGTCGAATTTGATCAAAGAAATCAGCAGGTCACGGACACCGTTCCCGCCACTTATCGACCACCCACGAGCCGCTATAAAAGGAACTCGACGATCCACCCGTATCCCTTTTACTTCTAACTCGTTTTGATTTTTCTTTGTGAATAATTTTAATAAAATATGTGATAAGTTTAATTACCAAGTTTGAGGTACATCAACGAGATATTACTTATATCCCTGCAGATATCTTTTTAGTGATTATCCGTAACGATTCTTTGTGCGTCTATCATTGGACAAAACCTATTTCCTGCTTTCCCGGGATTTCTAATAGACATTTCAATCGGCAGGCTGATATTCCAGATGCCCATCAAAGACGCGGACTTGAAAATGCTGACAGGATTGACATAGCGAAGTTCCAGATGAACTCGTTTGTGTATGGCGTTATGGGATGCGCATGCAGCGCCCAATTCCGAATGAGGGTGCGTTTAAATTACTTGTTATATTTTTTTGTTCGTGGTCATTAGTACGAATAGTACTCCATTTTCTTGTGGGCCGTCAAATGTACAATTATTTTGGTGGCTGGCTCAAACGGAGGCCTGCTAGTGCAGCTTTCAAAATTCCACTTTTGCAAAGAAAGTTTTCACAGTACTGTTTGCTGCAATCGTTGAAATATTTCTGTATTAACTAGAATTTTTGGCTTTTTAAAATTACTGTGGCACAGTTCACCCAGAGAGCGAGAGCCACGCTCTCGAATTTCAGTCCAGATTTGAGTTAGAAGTTTTTTGTAGGCAGACGAATGTTGGCAATTTTGCCCTTGTTTGCACCGTCCATTGAGTGCAACATGCCGCCACCGCACCCCCCCCCACCTCCCGTTTGCCGAACTGCGCCGAAAATTTGGACAAAATGTATTGCGCAGTTCGCCAACGGGGTGGGGGAGCATTTTGCACTTTCAGCGCTTCATTAGTTTTGGTTGACAAGTCTCACTCTTTGAAACCTTGAACTCTGTCAAAGCTGGAGCAAGCTGCGTCGGAGCGTCCCTACGGTAAATACCTGTCCTCTGTAGGCCTCATAAAATAGCGCTGACAATGAATTTCGTCATGAACTGCAATAAGAATTTACAAGTATCCCACAAACATGTCTGGATATTCTCGTAGCATTCCATGTTCACGGGGTTCCACTTGACGGCTTGACACATACCTGGAAGAAGCAAAGTACAAATGCTCCCCCCCAGGCACGTCGACGACTGCCCCAAAAATCATCATGATTCTTTACTGTTGTCATTGCCGTTTTGCTTACCCTTTTTTGTCGTTGGTCCTTGGTATGAACTTTTATATCAAGCTTCAGAATGCATTACTCACAGCGACAGCTACTGTTGTCCGTGACAGCCTGAACTGCTACGAGCCAGGAACGAGGTAATTTTCTTTCTTTTTCCTCATTGGAAGTGACTCGACTCTGATATGTCACGTGATTTACTAGAAAAAAGATTCCAGAGTCTACAGAAGAGACATTGAACGTGCTAAGTTGGAAGTACAGAGTGAGTTTTTATTTTTGGCTATTCGTCCGCGTTCATACTTCGCGGCTCAAGCGATTCAATCGCGCGATTGAGGTTCGCAGCGCTATCGCTAAGACTTGGATCGCTGCAATTTTCAAACAAAATCTACCCTGATTGTGGTTGAATCTATCATTCGCGGCAATCCAACATTGAACGGTGGAAGCACAGTCGGTTGCGAATTTTCGTTTCGAATCGTGCGCCTTGAATCGCGAAGTATGAACTAACTGAGGGAGTAGTGGCGTTTATGCGCGTCGTACGCGACAAAATTACGCGGGATTTTACTTTATGAAGATGTCGCGCGGGGTCGTGCAAGGCAAGCTACTGGAACAAATGTCGCATTACTCAATGAGGTGATGTTTTGATGCTAATCACGTATTGAATAGGTTGCACAGTCGGTGGGAGAGCGCAGACAAGCAGACTGCCCCCCCCCTTCCAACTCTTGTACAGCTCTAACTCTTGTCTTGTCATATTATTTCGGGTTCCATGTGCTGAACAAGAGGCGTTTTGATGTCTTTAGATCAGTACGAAAGTGCGCTGAAAGCTATTCGTGAAAGAAGAGCTGAATTGGCTGCCGCAAAGCTGCTGATAAAAGAAACTATGCTTGAAATCTAGGTCATATGCAATTATTTTCGCGTACGGTTACCTTATCCATTATTGTTTCCCGTTGTTTCGAGTTATTGTTTGCCGACGGATAATTTTTTATTATCATTTGTCTTGTTTGTTTATTTTTATGTTTATTTGTTTGTTGTTGACTCAAAGCATCAACTGCCTTCTGAAGCTTGTTTATTGTTAACGATAGATAATAAATTTCTAAAACCGATTGCTCCATTTTTCTGTAGGCAATGGTTTCGTTTGGGAGAACAATAGAAGCTGTCAATATCGCCGCTTCGTCGCGCACGGCAGTGGGCGCGACGAACCTTTTATTTGTACTACTCTTTCGATTGGAGCATCGGATTTCATGACAAGGACATGGTAGACTATTATGTTTATTTTGATCATACATTCTCTATTTTCCGACCCAGTAATCACCTTAAAATTAGCGTAAGGTAGCAGGCGCCGACCGGCTCGCCACGCGAACGCCCACTAACGCGTGCTAATACGGTTCTTTTCTTGCCACATAGCCGTGTTCGTTTAGCTCAGCGAGTCAGACGTCGCGACAACTGCGCGTCTCGGACAGCGTATATACAACAGGCGGCCCCCAATCCTGTAAGACTTGCGAACGCGGCTACAGCCGATGGGCGCCGGCGGTTTGTCTATTGAGAGAGTGTGTTGGAACAGGATGGTACACGCCTGCCTAACCATGCGGGTATGTGGCAAGAGAATCGTAATTCACCGCGCTGGTGGGCGCCGCGTGCGACGTCGCCCGCGCAAATGAACGTGGTTCCGTGAGTATTCTGGCGATAACAGGCAATTCAAAACCGGAAATAGTCATCAATGCCTGCGATGAAGGGGTTTACATGAAGACCGGTGCTCCAATCGACAGGTTAACACGAGTTAAGGAAACGCCAACCATCGCCGCGCGCGGCGGAGCTGCAAACTACGATTTTTTTTACCCGTCTCCCTCACCATTGCAGTCTGTTATCGATCGCAGCTAGCTGCCATAGAACTTCGGAAGAAATATCGAGAATAAAAGTACCAATGCGGCCTACCCTCCTGCTCTCCCATACTTCTCAAAACACCAGCGCCGGATGCCGGATCATATTCTCGTCTGCAATTGCGTTTGCCCGTCTATAGGATTGAGCACTGCCACAGCTGTAGCGCGTCGACGCGCGTCGTCGCGAAGTCTGAACGCTTTCCAATTCCAGATTACATGAAACATTTTTTCAACAGCATGTAAGCATGTTTATAGTCTACCCGAGAATGTACAACATTCAAACAGTTTTGTAACAGTTTTGCAGAAGATTTATTTCAAACTTTGTCAAATAAATTACTAGGTAGGGGGAAGTTACAATCAAAATGTTTATGGCATCTTTTTAGCGCTACTCTCACAAACAACAGGTTGATTCTATTAGCGCACGTGACGCTAACGGTAAGGGCCCGAGTGTGACAGCAGCTTTGTAGACGGTTGCTACTCAATTCACCAGACTATAAGTTTAGGATATTAGTGATTCGGTCGTAGTGTAACCCTAACAAAATCGCCGAACGTGAAGGGCTAAACGGCAAGCAGTGCAACCTTCATCCCCACCTGGGCGATTGTTGGCAACCTGCTGAGCGCGGTCAGAGGGGGCTGCTGTGAGTCAGGGTCGACACATTTGATTTTACGCCTGGTAGGGTTACGATATATTAAATTACCAACTTAAACCTATAATCTTGTCTCTGTGTCCAATATGAATCATAGTCAGTAGAATATTCAAATGTCCTCTACCGGAATACCGAAGATCTTAAGCTGCGCATACGCACGTCGAAGGCACGGTCATCGTCCTTCGTATGATTGCCATGTGCTCGTCTTTCGTCCTGTAGCTTGTGGGCCATAAGCCGCGTTAACCCGGCTATAGAAGAATGACGGCCGGAGGCGGCCGCGTGTGCCAGCTGCTGGCTTGAAGCTTGGCGCGGCTAGGATGTCTCGCTGAGCTGTAACAACCAGTTATGAAAAACTAGCCAATGTGTAGCACAGAGCAGTCTTACTCCACGGGGGGGGGGGGGGGGTTGAGGGGGCGTGGATTGGAGTGTAGCCGAAGCAGCTTTGTCCACCAATCGTCGCGTTCTCACATTTGATGGAAGGCTGCCTTGGATACGCTGCAACCCACGCCTCCTCATCTGAAGGTATAGTAACTCTAAGTGAGCCCGTACGCTACCTGTTAAGAGTTGGTTTACGTATCACTGACCCCAAATATGTATAAATACGTCATTATCATATTAGGTGATACCTCATCTATTAGAAGTCTTAACAGATAGCGGAGCAGGGCTACTTGTCCCGGAAAAATGAAAGATTTCGAGAACTCCCAAAATTCACTTTGTTGTATAGCTACGAGACGAGCTGATTCAAGAATAGCGTTTCGTTGTTGTTCACGATTCGCTGCATCCATCTGCTGGTTCTGCCTTCGAATTTGGTCGTTTCTCTGTGTCTCCTGCGCAACTTGTTGTGCTCGTCGTACTTGTTCTCGTTGTGCATTCATCCTATCTGAATAAGAAGAGGGACAATATTGAGGAAAAATAAAATAAAACAAGATAATGAAAACTGAACTACACAAAATATGAGGTTGACAGACCCCTGTCCGCTTGTTGGCAAGATTGGACCAGCACCACACAGCTCACTACGAATACAACCGCCGTTGGCAAAGACAACATGGCTGCTCAAATATGGTTTGGAACGACAGCAGCTGTAGTGCCCACTTAGAGCAAAGTGTTCAGATTTCCATAAAATAGCTGGCTATTTATGTGAAATCTTAGGCGATGATTTTATCGGTGCTGAAAACTTGTCGCTATTAGTAGCGCTTATCTGACGAGGATCTACATGTCTGTTTTGGAAAAATCTGTTTGAACTACGACAACGAGAATACGGACATCTTTGTTAGCTTGGAAATGCATTCCGTGATCACTCCTTGGGTAAAGTAATACACGCTCACAGGCAGTTTTGCCCGTAATCTCAGTGGTTGCCGCAATCGTTATAAGCTCAAGTAACTCTACCAGTGAAAGGTGTCGCATCTAACTGCTGTCTCTGCTACTTTGTGTCTGGCCGCTATAGATATTTCCGCCTATATGGTGCGCATATATCAGGGAGTGGCAAAAAAATACTTGCATGAGGCATCTATCAGAGCCTTATCAGCATTTCATGTAGCACGTCAACATATGAAGATATAGCAGACCGAACTGAGAAGGCGCTCATGGAATTAACACCACCTCACAACAGTGGCTGCGTAACTTTTTGCATCAATTCACCCATGAACAGCTACCTGGTGACCGGCACTTTCATCTGGAAGGCCTTGAACATCGAGCAGCTCCGACAACCGTCGCTACTGTCTAGAACATCATCTTCAGCGCAGTCGCCAAGGCGCGGTTGATTGTGTGGGCCGCAAGTTCCTGGAATGGAAAGACCGATACTGTCTTCGTGAACTCCGGAGTGAAAGTGAACGCTGACGTCTTATCAAAAAGCCGCTCGAGGAGAACATCTTGCCTTCATGTGTTGGTCGCCATGTACCAATCTTGGAATCTTCGCACCTGCTATAGGATTTGAATGAAGAACATGGACAAAAATCTCTCGCCTACTTGGAGCGAAGGGCGTTGAGTAACTGAAGAAGACGGAATACGAAGAGAAAGAACAGGCTCCTGTTAAGCTCCATCCAAACCCGGTAATCGGGGGTCCGTCGTCAGCAATAAGGTCTGAGAACCTCGATCCCACGAATGTTAAAGACAGCCCCGCGCTCGAGTAGTACATGATCGTCCTTCCTTGTGTAAGTAGTACAGCCCCCAAGCTAGAGATGTTCCACTCTATTCGACTCTACAGTGAGCGGGGAGCGAGCTACAGCCGCTCAAAGTTGCACTTCTAACGCCTGCTCAGTTGCCTTAGTTTCTAGAGTGCCCTCCGGACGAGTCACTCAGTTGTTGCTTAGTTGAGGGCGAGCAGGGCACGCCATTGCGTTGTGATCATTTCCTGAAAAATACGACCCCCCCCTAATTCCATCTTCAAGTACGACCCCCCTCCCCATGTTACCTTTTCCCTAGATTTTTCCAACCTCCTACCACTTTGTCTACTTTTTCCCAAAAAATTTCTGGTTTTTTACAAAATTTGCTGTCGAGCGGGGGGGGGGGGGAGGTCGCAGTTAACCGGTACGTAGCGTCCCCAAGCCCGTATAGGACTCTAGCGCTGGTGAAGCAATACTGACCATACGTACGAGAATGGGGGGGACGATGATAGGAGCTACAATCACCGCCCACAAGGGCACCATGAATTTATAATTAAGCAAAAGGACTCACGACGTGACGATTAATAAACCGATGAAAGTACATTCCCGGACTTTTCTGATCGTAGGAGCACATTTGCTTGCAATTGGGAAGCCCTATCTAGAAGTTACACCTTCCAAACACCTGCGTGAAAGCCCGTGCATGGCGCATTGCAGAGGTGATGCCAATTGGCGCCCAATGGCCTATTTCCTGATACCCTTTGCGAAAACATGTCTCTTAGAAGCATACCAAAGTCATCAAGCCAACCGGAGGTTTCATGGCCTCGGAGGGGTTGATTTTTCGGTGTCGTGGGGGGTGATTACAAAATGATCACAACGGGGAATTTTTTCGAATAGTAGGTCTAGGAAGGAAATTAAAACCTTGCTGGAAAGTAGAAATCTTCAAGCTTCCGGCACAGTTCTTTTTTACGAAAGGTCGTGTATGAAGCTTGCCATGGACGTCCAAAGCGTAGCGACTCGCGGTTCGCAAAAATGATCACAGATGGATCACAAAGATGATCACAACGGGGAAAATCTCTGGAATCGGAACGTTTTTGAAATCGCTCAATTCAGGTGACAAGAGCCAACCTAGCTCTACTCATTCCCACTTACCCCTCTCCGATAGCTTCACTTTCAACGAAGTTATGGGTGTTCAAATGAGGGGTACTTTTCACGTGTTTGGCTTGAAACTGGATCCAGGCCGTAAAATAGCGCGCACCAATGAGCTTGTATAAGCGCGCTGACCGCGAACAGCCAAAATTCAAAAGTAATCCATAGTTCCGGTTCCCAGCTGACCTGGTGAGTTTTTTTTTTCTTATCTTATTCTTTTTCTTATTTGATTGTGAGTTTTGATTGTTTGTTTTTATTGAGTTTGGTTTTGTTTTGTTGCGTTTGATTTTGTTGTGAGGAAATTGCTCAGGATTCAATTTCTACGGCTTTCATAGGTAGCTTTTGCAATGGATTCTTTTCTGGATTGTGCGGATTAGTGGATTGGAATTTATCTAGACCAGATGAGGAGGGTTGGTGGGCGAAGTGTCTTGAGGTTTTTTGTGAGGAAGGTGGAAAAAGTTTCAGCAATATTTTTTTAATTCTTGACTTAGGAATAGTTCGATAGTGCCTAGTTCTATTTATTGTCATTCCCTTTTGAGCTTCTTTTCACTTGTACCGTGTATCACCGCTCTCTCCACTTCAACATGGGCCATGCGTTTACGACCCCCCCCCCCCTCCATCGCGGGCAAATACGACCCCCCTGTTGTGATGATCACAAAGATGGCGTGCCCTGGCGGCGGGCATTAATCGGAATTGCATCTCCTTTTTGCTGACCGCACTCGTGCCCATGGATAATTCTGCTCTCCTTTATTACAGTTTACTCAATGGGGGCATATACATTCAACTCAACCCATTTCGCGAGGTGAAACGCGTAAAAATCACGAGTGACGCAATTTTCGTGGTGCAAAAGCTCGACGCATTCAGTGCACTAAAATGTGCGCTACCGTAACCCAAAATTCGTGACTGTGAGGGAGCGATTTTGTTTATGTTGTTCTGGAGGACGCTTCCTGCTTGTTTTCTTCTTTGGGAGATTACTTATCAGCTACTGTTTCATAATTGAAAAGCAACTATCCAAGACACTTTATACGGCGGGAGCTGTCTTTAAGGGCTGAGATCAGTGTCTGTAGTGATTGCCCACATTATTCATTTAAAAGAAAGAGAGAGAGAGACCGTGCGAGAAAAGTCTAGGGTTATCCCGCATGTGCTAAGCGTCTTCTTAAACCCGGCAGCGAGGTTATGTTCAGTCTGTACGGACCTGACGCAGTCTGTTCTCCGACTGGACCTCCTAATCTTCGTGTTCTGTCCTCCTTTATTACAGGTTTTTCACTCGCTCAAAAGTGACTCGCTTCTTTCTACAATATTAGTCCAATGCTGGGCCGCCAATTCGGGATTGTGCTGAAATGGGTTAGTTCCTTCTTTCTTTATTGCGTTCGTTCAAATCGGTCCAATTTAGCAATAGCTCGATTATAAGGCCTGCAAATCTCCCAATTTAGCAGTACTCGGATTATAAGACATGCCAATCCCCCCCCCCCCCCCTCCTCCTCGAAGAGCTTCAGCAACCGCATTAAAAGTTGCAGTCATTGCAATACCAGAGGAATACGGTAACTAGCAGGCACTCCTACGGGCTAAACACCCTAGCAAGTATTAAGCAGATTGCTTCACATGCTCTAAATTTCATCCGATTTAGTTATTGTGTTTCCGCAAAGACTCGATATGATGTTCGATCTGCTGCGCGAAGCAAAGCGATCTCCAACGCAGCTTTGCACTGCAGATAGCGCAGCGCTACTAGTATGCGAATGCTTCGAATAAAACGTGTTTCCAAATCAACAAATCTCGTTCGGGATTGTGGAGAATGTGGAGCGACGATCCTGACAGCTAGAAACATTCGTAGGGATGCTCACTTATTAACTGGCCGGTGTCACAACTAAGTATTCTCAGGATACAGCTCACCAGGGACCGATCACAGGTCAATCGGTCATATGTAAAATGATGTCTGTAGTTTAATGCGTATTCTGACGCTGATCTCGAGTCAACTTCAAAATTTGCGGAGTGTCTCCCTGAACGGAGTTGAAATTTTCGTCGCGGTTCATAGGTCTTGAGACCGGATCCTCTCTGAGCAGAACTCTTTCGCCTTTCTCCAGGAACATAGCAGAAAAGGCTTTCATCATCGCTACTGTATCAGTGCTTGCTTGCTTGCTAATACTTGAGGATGATTTGGCCAACTGCGATTACCCCATGCTTGGGCTTGTTGTCGAGCAAGAAGAGGCTCAAAGGCAGCGGGCACGGTTGCTGGGTTCGGGTTGTTGTCGCCGATGTCATTTGTGGAGGAGCTGAGTGGGCTAGATGTCCTCTCGCAGCTCCTCCACAAATGACACTGGCAACAACAGCCCGCCCCAGCAGGTCTCCCCTGCCTTGCAGCGCTACGAGTTCCGTGATGCCAGCTAGAAGCGATTTGAGTTAAACCTCTGCGGTAATCGTGCTTAGGACGTCAAAACCCTTGCACTACAGCGAAAATTCTGGAACTTTCTTCACTCCTCCGACAGAACAAATTAATTTCTTTGGTTTTTTTGTTTTACTCATTCAAACATAGAAATAACAATATAACAAATCTGCAGTGGTACAAACAAATCGAGATCAGAAAGCACGAGTCGATGAAGAGGCAGCGATTTGTCATGAGAAAGCCTGAAAATGATGAACATGATACTTATAGACACCGTAACCCAGCTACAGTACTTTTACAAGACTGGATTCTTGCCTTGGAGGCATTGTGCGATTAGCCAAGTAGCTGTAGTTGTCTTTCTCAAGGTAATGAGGCCCCAAACTGAAGATCCATCCCTCGCGGCCCGAAAGTCTAGGCTTAGGCCTGATAGCCCGTTGCCTGCCCACATACTAATAATCCGAGCGAACGGTAGAGCGATATGTGATGGGGTGTGGACTGGAGCGCGGCCAAGGCGGTGGTGCCAAAGTGATCTTTTTCACCAATTTTCCTGAGTCCTCAATGATTAGCGAGGTAGGCTTGTCGGTGCTACCTACCACTTTACGACCCTTCTCTTCATACGCCCAGTGTTTGCAGGGATCATAATTATATATCGCCATGGTGATGGAGACTTGCCATCAAAGGCTCAGGGCACGATTAGAAAGCATTCGTAGCGAAGTGTGAATCGAAGAGTATATTCCTAGAGCTCTGAATAAGGTCTCTGTCGGTTCGTGACCGGCATATAGTGACTGTGAAAAGAAATCAGAAAGGCTGACCTTCGTGGGCGGGGCATGAGATTCTTGGGAAACTCCAGTCTCATTTTTCGTTTTTGCGCAATGTGGTATCATCTGTGATTGCGCTACCTTGCGTGAGGATGACATTCTACCCACCAGGTAGGCGCGGACTATCTTTTGAAAAATTAGACAATGAGGGATACTCGTGATTCAACCCGCCTGGATGAATTTCATTTGAAGTTACCAATCCAACGTGGGGAACACTTAGTTTTCTTTTTGGGAGGCTATCGATGTGGTGGAATTTTCCTAGGACCCTACGTAGAATGATCCCATTGCCTCTTCCCCCCCCCCCCACACCCGTTTATTACGTTAACAGCGATATGGCAATATATAAATGCCAAATTTATCTTTTAAATTACCTGAAAACAAGAGAGACAACACTCTCCTGCTGTATCAGTAACACCGAGATGAGCATCACCCAATACCGTATCCGCTTCTTCAGCAGCACTTTTCACCAAAACATTGTATCGACGACGTTTACACCATGCAGCAATCACCTTTAACAATATTAACTCAAGCGTCAGAAAACAAAGGGCACAAGGCGCAGTGGCTTAAAGGTGCGTCATTTGCACATATCCACTGGTTCAATTCTTATCCCTATAACATAAGTGAGTCCATTACTGACGTGGAATCTGTTCGGGGGGGGGGGTGTAGGAGGAGAGCTGTTATACAATTTGTTGGGAAGGGCACGAAAGACCTGACCTATTAGGTTTGAAAGACCTGATTTTCATGAAGTATCATCTGCAAGGCCTGGAAGCCACGAACAGCGAAGGGTCCTTTCGAGCGCCACTATGTTTCCTTAGCAATTGCTTGTTATTGCAGGACATGGCGTGACCACGTTGGATTTCCATAGTACTGGCCTAAGAATCACGGGCTTGGGAGAGCTACTCCAGGCCATTTTCCAAAGAATTGTAACCTCCTTTCACAGAGTTTGCAGGTCTCGCCAAAGTGAAATCTATTAATGAACATGAATCGGCGAAGGGAACTAGCGAAATTGCAACTTGTCCCTCCAAATCCAATGAGCTCAGTGCACACTCACGGGGGGGGGGGCAAAAAAAAGATCTTTCGCCGAGCATCATATCAGACAGTTTTCGCAGCCGGAGACAGTGAAGTGGATATGAGTTATACGCAGAGGGATGTATACCCAAGATTTTTCCTTCTATAAGCTGGAGCACGCTGTACCGCCCATTCGCCTGTCATGCGTACGGACCAAAAATATTGAAGTCATGTTCCTAGTCTCGGCGCCTGACTGTAAGAACACCTTTTGAATTCACGTCGCCTCCAAACAGCTGCGGAACTTCTTGAATGGAATCACCCATGGATAGCTACCTGGAGACCAGTACTCTTGATCTGCAAGACCTCCAACATCGAGCAGCTCCGGCAACGTCGCTACGGTCCAGGACATCATCTTCACCCCATTTACCATTCACCAAACGGCGCGGTTAATGGTATGGGCACGCGAGGTAGCCTGGAAAGGGAGATACCGGTTATTTTTACATTTGTGACCCCGACTGAAAGTTAGCGCTGGCGGTTACATCAGTAACTCAGATGAATGATATTCCTTCCCTACATTGTGTCGCCCGTCCTTCTTGGAGATAATAAGTTGTGTATCAGGTATGGGTGCCACCACATGGAATCAAAGGGTTTTGGAAAAACTCCCGCCTACTTCGAATGGAAGGGCGTTTCGTACCTGAAGAAGATGTAATATTGAAGTATGTCCCCTGACCTGAATCCACTCAGTTACCTAGTCGGGCGGAGTTCAAGACGGTGGTCTACGGTGGCGGAGAAATCAACGATCTCGCTCAACTCCGAGGTACCCAGCTCACTTTTCGCGGCGGCCGAATATCTCTCGATGCCCGCTCCTCCAGAAGGCTGCGGCGGAGTATCATTATAGTATTTAATGTGCTCTTTAATATGGTAGTAAAAATGTCCGATAAAAATTTAATAAAGTGTAACTTATAGCGCCTTGAAAGTCATGGAGGCAAAATGACTTTTTTTTTGGCCCCCCCTGTTACACTACAAAAGTTACCTGCACAAGCATGACAGTACCGACTGCACTCAGAACACGTCCACCAAAGTTCAGCAGTCCGATTAGGTACTTGGATGGTGCTTCCGATAAAGCTGAAACGCTGAAAGCTGCAGCAATTTCAGTATGAAACTCGTCAATAAGAATCAAAACTTTTCAGAAGTAACAGCGCTGTTTGGCTTGGGGGGGGGGTTGGTGGAGAATCTCATGCCACAGCCTAGCTTTACAGGTATTTACAGGCTTCCTCAGGAGGCAGTGATCGAGGAACGAGCGAAACGATCCCACCATACCGAACTGCTTCGAAATAATTATCCCATCAACTGGTTCAAGAAAGGAGGAGCAAGGTATTACATTTATAACAACTGAAATACAATTCAGAAATGATGAAGAAAATTAAGGATTCAATAAGAAGAACCTTTCGCTCACTTTTCTTGAGTTTGAACCTCAACGTGTGTTCATTTTCCACAGCGGACTTGACTACTTCAGCATTGAGCTGTGCCGACCAGACACTTGCCAAGTAGGCAAGGACATTACAGGTAAGCCCAAAAACGAAAAACATTACGATGCCGGCACATTGGTTTCCTGAAAAAACGTTGTTGAAAAATTTGCTCTGAAATTTAGTTTGATTAAAAGTTGACTTGCTCACTGATAAATTTGGAGATATCGTGGTACTGACACCATTGAAGTTCTAGACTCTGTTGATATATGGGGAAGAGAAAGAGCTCAGGAGGGCACTTATTTCCTAGGTGAGTTCTCCTGGATGAAGAAGAAGGCAAGTGGAGCCTCCATGCCATGGATTGACATTGAGTCTCTCCGCCCATACAAACAGCGTGGACAGCGCCTTGGAACAGTAATGATGTGCGCACTTGCGGGCTTATCATTGCGAGCATTTTGACAAGTCAGTACGACTCCCGCCCCTTCCCGAAAATCAGTGTGAACCCGTCTTCAAAAAAAAACTATAAAGTCAAAAAAATCATGAAGTCAATAAAACATAAAATCACGTAGGAGTATGGCGTATTCGCCTAGAGGGCACTTCTTCGGGGAGGGTAATTGGCTGTTCAGTACATCTTCGCAGATATCCTCTTCACCCAAAACCCCAAAATCTCCGTCCATTATACTACCCCATTCACCATGCTACCTGACTTTTGCTAAGGTTTTCCTACTCTCAAGCGATTTGTCAGAAAATTCTACCAGTTCTTTTCAAAAAAACGAAATTCCGTCAAGCGAGGGGACGGGGGTGGGGGGAGAGAAGGGGGCAATTAGCAACCAGTGATCAGATATAGAGGTTATGACCCCTCCATCCAGCCTCCTACCCGGTTACAGGAAACAGGTATCACGAAAAATGTTAAAAGTCAACAAATGGGTAATCCTCAAAAGATTCCAGCTGGGCAGTTTGGAGAACATATTCCTGCAAAAGCCAGGCCCTTAAATGCCCTATGTACAGGGAACGGCCATAGTTTTGTGATAATCACAACGGGGGGGGGATCGTTGTTTGACCGCGAGCGATGAGGGTACTGCGGTCTGAGAAATAATTTCTTACTCGATTGCTGATTTAACTTGTTTCACAACAGCGGACGTTATGAATGGGAAGGGGTCGTATTTGCCCGTTGTTGGAGAGGAGGAGGAGGGCGGGGGGGGGGGAGTTGTTATTAGGCTTTGAGAGGAATTTGCGCCGTTGGGAAAAAAGTTTCCCCGGATGTTGGCTTCTTGCGGTTTTTCCCGTTTCAGGAGTGTTAACACGTTGAGGACAGCGCGCGTTTTTACTTTTTGGCCGCGTGGGACACGCGCGCTTTCTTGAACGCCACAAGCGCGGTTCTTATAGAGTTCAGGACGCGTCCCACAAGCGGCTTTTTTGCAGGTTGGAGGATCGTAAACCGGTTTGGCATAAGCGCCAGGAATTGTCTGTAAGCCAACTTTTTCATAAAAAACGCCAAATCCGTCTTTGAATTATGGTTGCAGCAATACGTCACCTAATCATTTTTTCATAATTATCAGTGTTGTAATTGTCTATATTTATTGGCAAAGAGTTAAACAGCAAACCAATCCAAAGTTGAGGAGGAAACTAACTCAAGCTTATGGTGCTCTTTCCACAGCAAATCTTTGCTAAGCGTGTGTGTACTAACTTATTCCATGGACCACGTGTTGTACAAGTATACTAAGGACTGGCCTATAGAATGAATTGGCAGGAACAGGCTGTAGCATAAAATCTCACCTATGCGATTATAATCGTCTGATATTACAATTCGCGCGGGTCGCGCCAACCAACGTGCCCAACAAGCGCGCATTAAACTGTGTATGCAGCGTCTGCCGTCAATGTGTGTAAATACCACCCCTTCGCCCGCTCGACAGCAAGATTTTGGGGGCAAACTGGGGATTTTCAGGAAATGCCGGAAAAACTGGGAAAAGTGGTAGGTAGGATGGGAGGAGGTCGCATTTTTCACAAGTTCATCACAACTCGATAGCATTACCATGGCCGCTAGCTTGACAGCGGTGCAGCCCACATCCCCAACATCAGGGGACTGATTGCCCAGGCCCATCACTACGCGAATTCTCCCAATGACGCTGTAACTTTGCTGCATGGCCTAACACAATTGCCGCAAGTTCATTAAAACCCACAATTGGGTGCCGCACTTAATCTCCAGGAAAGATAATTCTTCTGTTCCCAAGCGTGAATTCCAGGCGCACTCATTAAGTTCCAAAGCAGTTGGCAGGCTGGCGGGGCGGGCTGTTAGTGCCGTCGTCATTGATAGAAGCAGAGCGTTTGGCCACACCTCACTGAGCACTTCCACCAATCACGTTGGCAATGACCGCCCACATCACACCATCGTGTTCAATGCCTTTGCAGACGCATTCCCCTTCCTCACTCTGGGCAATGGGGTCCAATTCTGGCTACGTAGATACAAACTGAATTCCCAGTGAAAAAAGGGGCAAAAATCGCTGAAGACACCGACATCGCGTTGGAGCAAATCATCGAGTAGAGCTGAGCAAAAGAACTTTCATTTGACCCTAACATTCATTCTTTATCCGTTGATTCTTCAATATGGCGCTTCTCACAGGTAGGAAAAAGAAGGACAAAATAATACGGAACTAATCGATTTCATGTTTACAGAACCATTGAAATCACATTTTCATTCTTTTCTCGCCCATTTATATGCGAAAACACCCGAATGAACGGACACGGTGGCTTTGTTCTCAGTTCAAAAAGCTGCAATATAGGCAGTATAAATAGGGCCGTTCGATATCGGTTCACTGGATTCTAGCATGTTCTTCTCCATTGTCTGTGCCCTTCTCCTACTCAGCACCATCACAAGTGAGGCACAAGTGGCCGCGGTTAGTTACTGTATAACACTAGATTCAGTTCTTCAGAAAGTAGCGCTTTCTAAGACTAGCTATTTTTCAGCCGTGTGTGGACCAGGGAGGCGAAGATTTCTGCATGCAACCATACAAGCTAGGATTTTGCAAGAAACCGAGCTTTGCGCAGCAGCTATGCGCCAAAACTTGTGGTACTTGTCACTGATTATTCGACAGGGGCATTTATCAATAAACGCTGATGGAG